GGGAAGGGGAACAGACAAGTTGCTGTCCTTTTGTTCTTTAGTCTAGTTGTGGAGGACATCACTTCACTGGCCCATGTTGGTATTATGATCATTGCACTCTTCCTGGGTGGGGCAGTCGATCGCTGGCCATTGGACCACCGCTCACGGTGGCTCATGGTAGCTCACAGCAGCTGCCAGCCACTCATGCTGGCTGCAGGCCACTCCCAGTAGCTCAAGGCAGCCCGCTGCAGCCCACGCTGTTGCTGGTGACTCACCGTAGTCCAGCTCCAGGTTGAGTTGCTGTTCACCATCTTAGCTGTAGAGGACGCAGCGTCACTGGCCCTCATGTGGGATCCGAACTGGTGGCCCTGCTGCTCAGAGCTTGGGCTCTCAAGCCAACTCTTAACCAATGAGCCACTCGTCCAGCCTGAATTATGGGGATTTTAAGTAAGTATGGGTGGTACATAGAAAGATAGAAATCCAGTTGAAACGTGAAGGAGTCGGTGAATGAAGTATCAGAGTAATCAGAACATTGAAGCCTTTTCTCCATTTATGTTTCTGTTCATTTTTTTATGTGTGATATACATTACACTGTGTCAATTTCTCATCACCAGGTTTCCATGGATCTCAATAGTGCCAGCACTGTTGTTCTCCAGGTCTTAACACAGGCCACGAGTCAGGATACCACTGTGTTAAAACCAGCTGAGGAGCAGTTGAAACAATGGGAGACACAGCCAGGTTTCTATTCAGTGTTGCTGGTAAGTTCTAAATAGTTCACCATTATATTTAATAACATGAGACACCGTTAATATGTTAATTGTTTTAAAAACCTGCTTGTATTGGAGGTTTACCTATGAAATGGATCCAAATATTTGGCTGCCATTGCACTGCCGTTTACTAATTCAGGGCGTGGCTCTTTGAGGGTGTTTTTTATGGGTGTGTGCTATGGTGAGTCTACTTTTTCTGTTTTAGTTTAGAAGATGTTTATTTTCATTTTGTGTGTGTGTAGGTTGTGATATATAATTAGGTTTATTTTGTTTTAGGTTTATTAGGTAATTTAAACATAACTTAAAAGTACAATAGTGTAATGAATCTCTTCCAATATCCATTACTCAACTTAAACAATTAACATTCTCCTGAGTAGGTATGCTTTCTTATGTGAATTGTAGAACTATTGATATTTTGAAAATAACAATATGAAGTATGTAGTGATAAAATTTAAATGAAACATTTAATTTAAAAATTTATCCATACTTGAATACGGGTATAATTAATGTTTATTTAATATATGCATTTTTTTATACGGTTGGTCTCTCTCTATTCTGGTAGCTAATACTTTTAACTTATTACATGTTCTTTCTAATACTGTTTTCTGTTTACAGAATATTTTTACAAACCATACTCTGGATATAAATGTAAGGTGGCTTGCTGTGCTATATTTCAAAAATGGAATCGATCGGTACTGGAGACGAGTAGCACCTCAGTAAGTTCCATCGCTCTTCTTCTCCCAGGGTCATCCTTTCCAAATTCAGGGAGGTGTTAGAATGTACCTGTTCATTCTTTATGTAAAAGAATGTGTTTCTGTTTACTTCAGCAGCACATATACTAAAATTGGAACAATACAGAGATTAGCATGGTTCCGTGCTAGGATGACATAGAAATTTGTGAAGTGTTTGATATTTAAAAGAAAATTACTATTAAAGTAGAAAAGTGTTCTGCGTAGTTAATTACAAATCAATATCTATATTACTGCTTTTCTCCAGGAGTTTGTATTCGGGGAAGGGAGGGTGTGGATTTCTTGTTGGCCTGCTTTTGAAGATCTTTGATTTTATGGGCACAAAACAAATGCTGAGTGAATGAGTCATGTTGAAAAGTCTTTTTTTGTTTTCTGTTTTTTTTAAAAGAAGTATGAGGTTAGGAATTTGGAAAAAAGCCATTCAGAAATAAATCCCAGGTCATTTCTGAGCCAGCTGGATGATTCCTGAGTCTTCTGCATAATTTCCTTTGTGGTAGGAATGGGATAGTATATCTTTGTAATCTCATCAGATTCAGTTGTAACCCTGTAGATGGTTAAGTGAACAGATTCCTCTTAATAATTAATTACGTGTTATATAATTGACAGAATGGCAATGCAGACATAACTCTGGGAATTCCTTTTGATAGAAAATAGTGAACCTTGCTGAAGAAGTAACATAGTCTTTGTTCTCCAGTAGATGGCACTATAGCTCTTTACATTCTTATATTCCTAAGGCCTTAAAATAAAATAAAATAAAATAAAATAAAACTTGTCTAAGTACTTCAAAGTGCATACAAAATATGCCCTTGAATAATATTGGAAGCAACTAGAATAGTTTAAAGATGCACTTAAAATTCTGCAGTATAAAGTAAACCCTTCTCTTATTTTAAAATTAATTCATAATTTTGAGAGAAATGAAGTATTTGGAAACAGTGCAGCAGCACAAGCTTTTCTACTATATTCAATTAAATTTTAGATGTTTCCTAAAATTCATTTTTTACTGGTTATATAAGCATATGGTTACAAATGACTATAAAAAGTCATTTATAATGAATGACTGAAAGGGAGAGTAAGTTATGATTAAATATTTCAGATTGTACTTTCGCATGAAGAATTAGAAACTGGAATTTAGTTTAAATTTAAAAAGTTACTGGAGTTATTATATGGTATTAGGTAGTTAAATCCCAGCTGTCTCTTTTAGTATATATTGAGATACAAGCTATAAAGGAGATGAATGTATTAAGGGAAAAAGGATGTTAAGAATGTACTTAAAAAGAGAGCAGGGGAGCAAAGATTAGTAATCAAACTCATATTTAAATTTGACACTGTAAAGTCTGCTTGTTTGTATTTTTATCTAAGTTTCATTTTGTATAGCTCCTACTCTTACCACTATTTTCACGGAAAGAGGATTAACTTAAGCTTGTATATCATTATATATAATGCACCTTTAACTGGGTCCTAATTAATTAGATACTATCCAACTTCTGCTTGGGGTATAGTCTGAATTTATTTAATGATAGCATGTGCATAAAGTTAAAGGTGGAATGTTAACTACTGGAGAATTGCCAAAATTTTCTGCACGTTAATGGGTTGTTTTCTTTAATTATGTGTATGTTTTTCTGTATGTTTGGTTCCTCTATTTTGGTAGCTAACCATAATCATAATCATAGTATAGTAATTAAAATGATGAAAACAGTTGAACCTGGCTCCTTGGCGTAGAAGAAAACTTGAATTTCAAGCTTGAAGCAAAATGTTATAGGAGAAAATATTTCAGGGGTTTGATGATAGGAGAGAGCTATTAAAGTTGGAAAATACAGCAGAGTTAAGAAAGGATTAGAGATCATTTCTAATGGAAAGCATAGACTTTCATTGGGCTTTGACTCTTTTCATCCAAATGTTATCTTAATCTTGTTTTCTCATTTGTTTACTAACCTTGAACAGTCACTATTAAAATTTTAAAAACTTTTGTTGAATTGTAATGTATATCATACTTAAGAAATGCACAAATTTTGGGTACAGTTTGAATGTTTTTAATGTGAGCACACCCATGTTGCTACCACTTGGAACCAGATAGAACATTACTAGCACCCCAGAAGCCTTCCCCCTTCCCCCTGCTACAGTCACCTATTCCACTCCCTTCCCCCAATTAAGTGCCATCTTTGATATCTGTCACCATAGATTAGCTTTCCGTGTTTCTGAGCTTCATACAAGTGGAAATAATATAGTATGTTCTCTTTTGTGTCTGGCTTTTATTCAGTATAATAATTGTGAGATTTATCCATGTATTTACGTGGAGCAGTAGCTTACTCTCTTATGTAGGAGCATAACATTCCATTTTAGGGACATACCACAATTATCTGTTTGTTCTGCTGTTGATGGGCATTAAGGTTGTTTCTAGTTATTAGCTATTAAAATAATGCTTTCTTGAAAACTATTTCACGTCTTCTTTCACATAAGTGTGAATTTTATTGTCATTTATGGTCAGATGTATGTTCAACTCAACTTTAGTAGAGACCATGAATTAGTTTTCCAAAAGGTTGTACCAGTTTACACTCTCATCAGTAGCATATGAGTGCTGGCATTTACTCTACATTCTCATCAGCACCTAGTCTAGTCTGTCTGTCATTTTAGTCATGCTGGTGCGCTTGGTAAGTTTTGCATTTTCTGATGACAAATGAGTACCTTTTCCATATACATATTAGTCCTTTGGATATCCTCTTTTGGGAAGGGAGAGCCTGCTATTTGCACATTGAAAAAAAATTGTGTTATCTTATTGATTTGTGGGACTTTGTACATGTTTTGGATATAAGTCCTTTGTTGAATATACATACTGAAAATATCTTCTCCCACTTTGTGACTTGCCTTTTCACTTTCTTAATGGTGTTTTTGATGAAGAGACGTTCTTAATTTTAATGAAGTTCAATTTGGATAACTTTCCTTTTATAGTTCTTTGGGGCCTATCTACAGAATTTTTGCTCAGCCCAAGGTCATAAAAATATTCTGTTTTCTGCTCGAAGCTTTGTTTTACTTTTCACATGTAGGTATATGATCTATCTGGAAGTGATTTCTGTGTGAGGTTCATATGTGAAGTAGGGACAACACTGTGCTCCCTTTGTTATAAATCAAGAACTTTATATGTATGGATCTGTTTTGGATTCTCAGTTTTGTTCTATTGGCATATTTGTCTATTTTTGCTTTAGTCATTGTACTTAATAATATAAGCCTTGATGTATTTTCTGCTACTTTTTTGGATTTTAATTTGCTGTTCTTTTTCTCGCTTTATGAGATGGAAGCTTAGATAATTGATTTTCAGTTTTTCTTCTTAAAGTTGTATTTAAAACATTACAGCTTTTCTTATAATCATGGCTTTAGTTCAGTTTCAAAAGCCTTGATATGTTATATTTTCATTAGTATTCAGTTAAAAATATTTTAAAATTTCTCCTGTGATTTCTTTTTAGACCCATTTGTTAATCAGAAGTATGCCACTTAATTTCCAAACATGTGGGGCTTTTTAGTTATTGTCACTGATTTCACCTCTTGAAATGTGCTGTCTTTTATGATCCCAGCATATGGTATTTCAGTAAATGTTTTGTGTACATTTGAAAGGAATGTGTGGTAAATTTACTGTTGTGGATTGTAATGTTTTATATATGTCAATTAGGTCAAATTTGTTAATTGTGCTATTCAAATCTTCTTTATCCTTATTGATTTTGTGCTGCTTTTTCCATCGTTTACTGAGAGAGGTGGGTTAATCTCCAA